AGCCCAAACTCGGTACATCTAGCTCTCCTCGCCGAGGAGTTCCTGTAGCAGTCATCAAAGTACACTTTCAAATCACTCTATCAAGTCCGGAGGTAAGGTCTCATTATAACTAACAAAACGAGCTCAAACTCGGTACATCTAGTTCTCCTCGCCCCGTCGAGGAGTTCCTGTAGCAGTCATCAAAGTACACTTTCAAGTCACTCTATAAAGTCCGGCGTTAAGATCTCACCATAACTAAAAAAACGAGCCCAAACTTGGCACATCTAGTTCTCCTCGTCGAGGAGTCCCAGTAGTAGATACCGATACGCCTTCTGCCGTGCTTACGATAATGGCAGTAAGTATCTGTTGCAAGATTACGAGAAAATGGCGCGCAAAGTTTTATTTTTTATTTTTACTGTTTCTGTTTTCTGTTTATGAGTTTTCTAAGATAAGATAATTGAAATATGTAGCGTAAGTGATGTTTTTTTATTTAGTTAAAGTTGTTGTTGAATTATGTTAGTTTTAAATTACAAAAAACCGTTTATACTTAGTATACGTTGATTATCTTAAAAACGTTGATTATCTTAAAAACGTTGATTATCTTAAAAACGTTGATTATCTTAAAACAATAATTGCTTAGAATTACCGGAGTAACTACGTAGTTTCTGCTCTTCTGGTAAGCGAGTCATATAATTCATAGGACTGTTTGAAAAAAAACAGTATATACAGTAAAAAATCTTTCATTTATTAACCTTCTTTATTAATTAATACATGTACAAATCCTTTCAAACTTCTCTTTAATAAATCAAGGATTTGAGATTAACAGTGGTAGAGCCACGCGGCAGCTTTTGCTGTCGTACGGATGGGCCGGCTCGAACCGGGGTGGTACCACGACCTCACAGAAAACCAGCGTAAAGTGGAGGTATACCTCTGCGTTTCGCTTGGTGAGTGCAGGTGGCCGGAGGCCCTTTTTACTGGAAATGAGGCATTCCATCTTAGTCCTCACGGGTGACAACGCATCTACATTTTGATTTGTAATAGCGGATAGATGTAGATGTCTATGGGTCGCAGCAACCACTTACCATCAGGTGGACTGTGTGCTCGTTTGTCATCCTTATCCTATAAAAAAAAAAGATCCATCTTACAAAAGTTACTTACGTACTTAACTGGTAGTTAAACAAATCATAATTCAACATACTTATTTTTCATTAAATGATTCAATTATGATCAAAATTAAGTTCTAAATAAAGATATAAAATATAAAAGTATTTCAGTCTTGTAAACTTAATCGGAATCGATATATACATCAGAAACAGGTAAGTTTAAACTTTTCTATTAATACATTTTTAGTAGATTCCGATATGCCACTTGGAGATGATTTTTGAATAAATTCAGGAGTTTTCTTTGATTTCATATATTTTATTTGAAGAAAGTCTAATTTTTCTCGGTTTTATCATTGTGATTATTTTTTATATTTGGGTCTGAACTCACCCCTTTTGTGCTCTTATTACCACAATATCCTTAAGGTATATATACTCTTGGCTCATATTTGCGCACTTTATGTTGTGAAAACAAGGCAATATAATTGTAGAAATCAACGACTTCCATTACTACTAAAATATTTTTTGCCGAATTGGATGCTGTGCGATCAACAAAATCTGCAAAGTCGTAGACTTTATTTTTCCTTTCTAAAGCCTGTTCTACCTGGTGGTGAAAGCTATCCGCGGACATGGAACTATGGCCGGGCTCAAAGTATTTCAGGGTAGTGTTTGCTTTTATTTGTGGATAATATACTTACACTAATAATAATTTAAAATTAAAAATTTTGTACAGCCGTCTTCAATATAAGTTATTAAGAATAACTCAAAAACTATTGGTCTGTCCTTGATCAAATTCATATGGGACCACACGAGAAGTACCAGCTTTCAAATAAAAAAGAACCATCGAAATCGGTTCACCCAGTAAATAGTTATGAGGTAACACACATAAAAAAACATACAGTCGAATTGAGTACCGTCTCCTTTTTGGAAGTCGGCAGAAAAAACATAACGGCCCTGTTTTTATATTGGGAAGAACAATTGTCCATCCATAATACTATTTACTAAAAATGCTTTTAATGTAGAAATTATATCCTCTAGCTTACGCCCTCAGATAGCTACATGCCAAACCGTTGCAAAAGGCACATTATTTTTGTCTTTTAGGTGACTCAAAAGCTATGTTCGACATACCTACGGGTGATGAAATCTGGATTTATTGTTATAATCCTGAAACTAAGAGACAGTCTACTGTCTGGCTGTTTCCTTCCGAGGAGTTGCCAACTAAAGTGAAGAGAGGTCGAAGCGTGGGAAAAAAGATGGTGGCCTCGTTCTTCGGAAGGGCAGGTCATAACGCAACAATTGTTTTAGAGGATCAAAAAACAGTTACTGAAGAGTGGTACACTAATAATTGTTTGGCACTTGTCTTGGAATAATTTAAAATAAAAAAATTTGTACAGCCGACTTCAATATAAGTTATTAAGAATAACTCAAAAACTATTGGTCTGACCTTGATCAAATTCATATGGAACCACACGAGAAGTACCAGATTTCAAATAAAAAAAGAATCATCCAAATCGGTTCACCCAGTAAAAAGTTATGAGGTAACACACATAAAAAAACATACAGTCGAATTGAGTACCGTCTCATTTTTGGAAGTCGGCAGAAAAGTTCGGGAGAAACGACCTCGCAGGGGATCCTACCCCCTTCACCACGACAACGCCTCGTCGCCCACCGCCATGCAAACAATCGACTACTTGGCGACGTCACGAGTGGCCCCGGCCTTGCGAGTTTTATTTTTTTCCGAAAATAAAAGAAAATCTTCGAGGAAAACGTTTTAAGGACGCCAAGGAAGCATTCGCTGCATTTCAAAATGCCGTTGAAGAGACCCCTAAGGACGAGTGGGCAAAATGCTTTCTCAGTGGTCAGTGGTTCCATCGGATGCAGCGATGTATTGATGTAAATGGACACTATTTTAAAAATATATAATAAAACTAATAACTTGCTAGTTTGTTCAGTATTTGATTTTCTAAGAACTTTCAGTGTCACACTCGTACCTAAGTCATTCTTCTTTATATTATTAAGACTAGTTTTCAACTCTGAATGTTGTTTTCTTTTAATATAATCAAGTAGGTACCTATAAAAAACATTAGGAAATGAGTTTGTAAGACCGTGTCTTCTGGGCATTGAACTTAATTATATTTAGTCGCTCCAATCCGAGACCTTATCCGGCAAAGACTCGACTTCAGACACAAATTTGTTCCGGTACTCGGCGACGTTTTTCCGAGAAATATTGGCACAGCCGGTGTATAAGGCATCACTAGTGCACGTTACTGGTTTGCAACATATTATTGATAAGCAGTAGAAACATCGTAGGAGAGCATGCACCTTCTACTACGACTTTGTTGCTCCAATCTGTAAGAAAACTGCTGATACTGTAGCACAAAGTCTCGGGAAGCCTTCGAAAGAAGCGCTTTGTGCCAAACTCCATCGGAGGCATTCGCTATGTCCAAACTAACGGCCAGGGTCTCCCTCTCTGCCTCCGCCGATTTATGAGTCAGGTAACTGAGCAACCCCGATGGAAATCGTATTGGCGGTCACTTTTCAGTAAGTGATCCTTTATTAGTTGTTTTTTTACGTGGTAGAGCCATGCTGCAGCTATATTAGTAGTATAGTTGTAGCACGAATGGGTCGGCTCGACCGGGGAAGGACCATGATCTCACAGAATACCATCGTAAAATATAGCAGCTTAACGCTGCTGTGTTTCGTATGGTGAGTGTAGAGAACCGGAGACCCTTTTTACTGGAGACGAGGCATTCCATCTTAGTCCTTACGGGTGACGACGTATCTGCATTTTGATTTGTAATCGAGGATAGATGTAGATGTCTATGGGCCGCATCAGGTGGCCTGTGTGCTCGTTTGTCAGCTGACAGTTCACAATGGTCTTCATTATTTTGGAGAACAAGTTGGATAGGTCTGAGCGGTCGATTTTTGATCATTTTTTAGAGATCTGGTGCACTAAAGCCGTCTTCTTTGAGTTCGGGACTACGCCTAGGGAGAAAGAGTTTTAGAAAAGACACGTTACAACCGGTATCAACTAGGGAGCACACGTCTTCAGCACAATGGGAGGAACTCCATCAGGCCCACTCGACTTGACGTCTTGGGAGAGTAGTGCTATGCGCACCGAGCGACCGCTATGTAAACCTTATCGTACCGACTCTTCGTATCGTGGCTCTTCCATATTACTAACTCTAATCTACTTCGTCATTGTTTATGCGTTACACATAATACTTAGTAGTAAGTAGCTTTGCTCTATTATGCCATGCAGTGGGCGACTAGGAACTGACGATGAAGTAGTTGTGCACCTTTAAAGTATTTACTTTAGTTTAAATAGGGAGCCAATTTCATTTCCGCCCCGGGGCCCTTAGTTACATAGCTACGCCACTGATTATATGTGTTATAATATTAATTATATTCGTTTGATATTCACATAAAACAAATATGAAAACGTATTAGGTAAACCTTCTTAATTGTTTATGAATAATCTAGTCAAATTATGGCGGCGCTGTCGTCGCGCCACAATCGAAACACATCGAAGCCTAAATCGCGCTAACAAAATTCCGAAGTTAAAGCAGTATAATATATAGAATAGCTCCGAACTACCACTCGGAGTGTTGGCCGCTCCCCGGGCAGAACACTTTGCCCGGCGGGAGATCTTCCCTTCTCCTTCCACCGGCCACAGTGGTGACCACCCGACGCGATTTAGGCTTCGATGTGTTTCGCTTGTGGCGCGACGACAGCGTCGCCACAAAATCTTTAAGACCAGTATTAAGAGACAATCTATACATATAATAACAATGGTGTAAATACAATAATTTGGTTACAAATTTAAAATGTTTATTGCATTTTTACAATAAATTTAAAAATAAAATTAAATATTATGGCATACCGAACACTTAATTAAAGCACATTTTATATTAATATAGCTTAAAAGTGGCCGTGTCCACCATGGCCACCGTGGCCATGGTTATTACCGAAGCTGTTGCTACTGTGCCCAGATTCGAAGCCGCTACTACTGTGTCCAGAATCGAAGCCGCCTTGGCCGTGTCCACCTCCGAAGCCGCCTTGGCCGTGTCCACCTCCGAAGCCTTGGCCGTGTCCACCTCCGATGCCGCCTTGGCCGTGTCCACCTCCGAAGCCTATTTGGCCGTGTCCACCTCCTAAGCCTATTTGGCCGTGTCCAGCTCCGAAGCCTATTTGGCCATGTCCACCTCCTAAGCCTATTTGGCCGTGTCCACCTCCGAAGCCGCCTTGGCCATGCCCATCTCCGAAGCCGTTATTGCCGTGTCCAGTTTGGAAGCTGCTGCTCCCTTGTTCATAGCTGCTGCTGCCATGTCCAGATCCAAAACCACCGCCATGTCCACCTGAACCATAACCTGTAAATTAAGAAAGCGTAAGCCCATATTTCTAGACTGAGTAATATTAAGTACTTATATTCCCTTTTATACTATTCTAAATGTATGGAAAAGTCACCTTACGATATCATGATAACTGGGGCAGCAAGTACAGAAATTTTGAGCTAAATATTTAAAAAAGCCTAAACTTACATTTTCTCATTTTTTATATAGGATTTCTTTTGTAATTGTATAAAAGGTATGAAAGCTAGGTCACGGAGTCATTTACTCTTTGACTTGTCTTGACGTATCGAATTCAGTTATTATAAAATATAAATGTAATTTTAAAAATAATTATCAATAATTTAAAATTACAAATTTTATACAACCGACTTCAGTATAAATTATAAAGAATAACTCAAAAACTATTGATCAGACCATGATCTATATGGCACCACAGATGAAGCACTACCTTTCAAATAAAGAAAGAATCATCGAAAAAGGTTCACTCAGAAAAAAGTTATGAGGTAACACATATAAAAAAAAAACATACAGTCGAATTGAGTACCTTCTCCTGTTTGAATTCGGTAGAAAAAGAAAATAATGCAATGGCCAATTGCCAATAAGGCCATGGACAATTTTATATTATTAAGGGCCGATTATTCATATATCAGCTAATAGTTATTCATAGTAGGATAAGATACAACATAAACAATTTAAGAATTACAATTCTTTGAATAAAATAGTACAATTGTTTCACTTTTATGTATATTCAGTCATGTTATAATTTATTTAAGGAATATATTTTATCAAAATAATGAAAAATAAGCCCTAAAAAGAACATATGGGTACATAATATTTAAAAAAGAACATCACGCTTTACGCAAAATTTTCTTTCTGTATATCATTATTAATCAAATGTTTCTATTTCTGTCGCCAAATCGCAGTGCTTGCACTACTGAGTTCCAGTGAGAGAGGTATGGAGAGTCAGCATAATGACAGTCTGTCAGGCATTTCATCTTAGTTCTCAGAGGTGACAATGCACCTCTAGCCTTCTTTGCTTTAAGTTGGCTGCAGGTGTCCATGGACTGTGGTAGCCACTTACCATCGAGCGGACGGTAAATTCGTATGTCACTTGAGTTCTATTAAAAATAAGAACGTCTGATGCTGGATTCTGGTTAATAGCTTTCATTCATGTCGTTATTGCCAAGAAAGTTTTAGGTTATTATATAAATAAAATAAAGTATATTAGTAAATAAACAACTTGCTTACCAGGTTTGGCCGCCGCCACCGCAATCAACGCAAGCACAACAATCTGTCAAAATATTTTTTTATATAATTTGTAAGTATTAAATAAACTACTCTGGGACGACTTTGTCCGTATGAGGAAACTCAATGTCCAACAGCGAACTATGGAGAGGTCTATGCGCGGTTTCTCTGCGTGGTAAACTTAGAAATGAGGATATCCACAGTAGAATCAGAGTGACCGACATAGCGCAACGGATCAATGGGCCGGCCATTTAGCTCGAAGAACCGACAACCGATGGACAAGAAAGGTTCTTGAGTAGCAGCCTCGTACCGGTAATCGAAGTGTAGGTTAACCCCCCACTAGATGGAGTAACGACCTGGTAAGACATGCAGGAAGTCGATGGATGCATGACCATGCTTTGTGGCATTCCTTGGGGGAGACCTATGTTCTGCAGTGGACTTGTGAAGTGCTGTAATGATGATGATGAATAAATAAACGTGAATGTTAACAAAGTATCCATGAAAAAACTATTTCTTAAGTGACATGAATTCATGATGATATTAAGACTTACTAGGAACTTCGCCATTTCTACTTAGTTAAATATGTCTCTAACTGACTAACAACTGACTGAAGTTGAAACCTTACTTGGCTTTTATAGTAAAAAAACTCTATGAAAACAGGCGATTTGATCCTGAGCGAGGTTTTAAATTTTAAATCTCTAATCAACAACACCCATGTTGCAGGCATTTTTTTAAAATTGTCAAACCATTGAAGGCTCTTTTTTGTTTTGTTTTGGTAATAATATTTATGAGTCTATTAGCTTTATGGTATAAAAATAATTTTCACTAGCTGCTAGCAAAAAATAACTTTTTCGTAACTTACATATGTATGTCGTATGCTATGCCGTGGGGCAGATTGACTTACGATCGCAGTACTTGACGTCTTGCACATTTCACTCTGCTTCCTGTTTCCGATTTGGATACTTACATTTAGGAAATATAATAATGTCCTCTAGACTAAATTTCGGTCACGGTGGCCAGTCTCAACTGGGATCATCTTTGAGAATTAATCAAAGACTCCAATTAATGGTGAACACGCAAGTTATTAGCTGGAACATGTTCCTGTTTCACACTATAATATTATTTTTATTATAACGGTTAAAAGTATGTATAACATAAACAATACATACATTAACTCTCACGTCTGTCAACCAAAGGGGTAGACAGAGACTACGGACTTCGATTGGACAAGATTCTAACACACTACCGCCTCTTTTACATCTTATATAGATGCTCGCAACGCATCCATGCTCGTCAGTTAAAGGGTATATCCCCAATAATAAGGTCAATAAATTTTCGACTAGGGCGACCCTTCCCGACTCTGCTGTTCACTTCCGTTCACTTTGGTCCCTCTTTCTTAGTTCAATCTATCTACTAAGTATGTATAAGTAAATATATATGAGTAAAATATTTTATATTTTACTCATATATATATATATCGAATGTGGTAGCGTCGTTTCCGGGACCCCTGAGATTTTGAGTGAGATTGAGAGGTTCTATGGGCAGCTGTACACGTCATCGTTGGAGCCACACGCAAGTGTGAGTAACGATTCAAGAGCGAGTCTTATCCGACACTATTCCAAAGATATCCCGGACGTCACTCTGAGCGAGATTAGAATGGCTCTCCAGCACCTTATAAACGGAAAGTCCCCGGGCGAGGTTTTTAATTCCGTCCTCCATGGTGGCACTACTCCGGAGGCGTGGAGCAGATGTGCGGTGGCCTTGTTCTTCAAGAAAGGCGACAATGCTCTCTTGAAGAACTACAGACCGATTTCCATTCTGAGCCGCGTCCACGTGCTGTTTCCGACAGTCATTACGAATCGTCTCGCATGCAGACTTGGCGACTTTCAGCCTTCTGAACAAGCCGGTTTCCGAAATTGCTTTAGTACCAAAGACCACATACACACCATTTGGCAAATTATACAGAAGACAGAGGAGTATAATCTGCCACTTTGCCTTGCGTATGTGGACTATGAGAAAGCCTTTGATTCCGTCGAAATTTGGGCGGTGCTGCAGTCCCTTCCCAGCGGTGCCAAGTTGACGGTCGGTATATCGAAGTGCTGAAGTGTTTGTACAATAGAGCTACGATGGCTATCCGAGTACAGAATCAGAGTACGAAACCTATCCAACTGCAGAGAGGTGTAAGACAGGGTGACGTTATATCACCGAAACTCTTCACCGCTGCATTGGAAGACGTTTTGAAGCTACTAGACTGGAAAGGATGCGGTATCAACATCAATGGCGAGTACATCTCTCACCTTCGATTTGCCGACGATATAGTCCTTGTGGCAGAATCGCTGGATGACCTAAGCACTATGTTCAATGACCTGAATAGTGTCTCCCAACGGATAGGCCTTAAGATGAAGATGGACAAAACAAAAATCATGTTTAACGTCCATGTCACACCTATGGCGGTAGTTGTTGGGAGCACTAAGCTCGAAGTCGTTGAGGAGTATGTTTACCTGGGACAAATAATCCGACTAGGAAAGTCCAACTTCGACCGAGAGGTCAATCGACGGATTCAACTCGGCTGGGTAGCGTTCGGGAAACTACGACACTTTTTCTCGTTAGACATACCTTAAAACATTAAAACGAAATTGTACAACCAGTGCGTGTTGCCAGTGATGACTTACGGATCTGAGACGTGGTCGTTCACTGCTGGCCGTATGAGGAAGCTCAAGGTCGCTCAGCGAGCTATGGAGAGGGATATGCTCGGGGTTTCTCTGCGTAATAAACTTAGAAATGAGGATATCCGCAGTAGAACCAGAGTAACCGACATAGCCCAACGGATTAGTAAGTTGAAGTGGCAGTGGGCCGGCCATATAGCTCGAAGAACCGATAACCGATGGGGAAGAAAGGTTCTTGAGTGGCAGCCTCGTACTGGTAGGCGAAGTGTAGGGCCCCCACGAGACGGAGTGACGACCTGGTAAGATATGCAGGAAGTCGATGGATGCAGGTGGTTCAGGACCGTGCTTTCCTTGGGGGAGGCCTATGTTCAGCAGTGGACTTGTGAAGGGTTGTAATGATGATATATATACCTAGTCAGGTCATAAATTCTGTCACATGCTTAATATAAAATAATTGAAACAAGTTTAATCATTATGTAACCATTTATATACCAAAATGAACTTAACAAATCATAGATTCTTATGACACTAAAGTTTATTCAAAATGACCTCCGTGATTTTGAATATAGGCCTTCAATCTGCGCGGCCAGTCGTCCCATCGCAGCATGAACGAGGTCCATGTCAATATCGGCGGCTGCCTTAATCAAGGATGTCTTGAGTGACTACAAATTGGGATGAGGCATTGAGCACGCCTTTTCCTCCAAGTGTTGCCATATCTTGTAATCTAACGGATTCAAATCTGGACTGGAGGAGGGCCAATCTTCGTGCCGGATGAAGTCGATTTCACGCGCCGCCAGCTAGTCTTGTGTGCTCTTCGCTCTATGAGCTGACGCCGAATCTTGTTGGAATACCCAGTGCCTGTTATTGAACAAGGTATGAGAAACAGGTTCCACAAGGTTCGTCAGGACTGTATTTTGATACACAACTGCATTCGTTTTTACACCTTTCTCACAAAAATGTACCTCTGTTAAGCCACAATAAGAAACTCCCAACCATACCATGAGCGAGGACGGAAAATGACCTCGTTGGACACGCGGAATACGTTTTATTTTCATGAACAATTCGAAATTCGAATTCAATAAACTTTTTTGTGGCCAGCATTCTAAAAGAAAAGTTTTTACTGTGTGACAATACTTATGACCTGACTAGGTATATATATCATCAAGTGATCTTGTAAGGTAAAGAGGAACAAGGGGTCGCAGAGTCCCAAATGGGTTGCGGATAGATATCTATCCTTGATTAAGGAAGTTAGTTGCCAAAGAGAATTTAGAAAAATATCAAAAAAACGTCACCCACTTTTTATTATATTACGTTGAGTTAAGGTATAATGTTATTACATAATGTTAGCTTGTATATAAAGCTTAATATATACTACGGACGGACACATTAGTCCGACGTGGCCTGAACGGAATAATTATTTCATTTGCGCCACGCGGGTCACTCTGTCGGACAACAAAAATTTTCGAAATATTACAAATAAAAGTGATGTTCAAAAAAGAAAACCAAGGATAATTCTGGACTATATAATGAAGCGAAATAGGCAGTGGATTTGTCGGACCAGATGTCTGCATACTCGACTCTGCTTAGGAAGACAGTGAAATGGTATCTTCTTCTCTTCTTTCGATTGTTTCTTCGATCTTTAATTATTTTTTCGATTTATGACTAAAGTTAATACCCATTTTTAAAAAAAAACCATTGAAAATTGACCTCATATTCAAATAAACAAATGATTAGATAAGTGATGTTTTTATTTTGCAAATATTTTTATTTTTCGTCTCCAGCATTCCAAATATTTAAAAAAATTAGGGTGACACATTACTTTTAATACTCTACAGGACCGCACGGGTCACTTAGTATGCGCAAATCTAATGAAAAAGTGGCCGCTGGCCTGTAAACGTAAGTCAAAGTAAGGTGTGCCCTGTCGGTCACCATTGTCCGACACGGCCTGAATGAAACATTTACTGGCGGTCACCACTGTCTGACATGGCGACCAACGTATTAAGGACCACAATGCGCAGGCATTGTCATTACTGTAGACTTAGATTAAATGCCTCGAAACCAGTAAAAAGAGTCATCGGTTTCGTCACTAACAAAACGAAACATAGGAATATTTTACCTGTTATTATACGCTCGTATTACGTGAGAGTGTATCGATGTCGGAACAATTAATTTGTGATTGTGCAGTCATTCAGGGCATCTACCACATATAAAAATATATATTACAACTAACTTTTGTGGTAATAAATCGGACAAGGTGTTTAAAGGTATTTTGTAAAATAACTAATTTCTATTGATTCTACAACATGAACTCGAAACCTGCCTGTCGTTCAGGTTATGGTAATTCTATAAATAAAATAATGTTAGAACAGGTCTGATACATATGTTGTTTTTTCAAACTTGAATATATTAATTGAAGACGATGTGTGATTAATGTCTTTTCGAATTAAATATTGCTATGCAACCGTTACGAACCCACTTTGAATGAACGGCTGTTCTTGAGTCTTTGGAACAATATCAAAGAAGTTGCTTAAATGATTCAAAATATTTTATTTGGTTTCATTGTTTCTTTTCCATTTTTATGAAATAAAATCCAACGAATATTTTTAATTGTGTTCTACAAATATATGTTACGTAAATGTTAGAATCAACATTAAAATATTACTAATAAATATACTTACTTACTTACTTACTTATCTTCACGCACAATCCCTGACGGGGTAGCCAGAGAGAACAGATAGCCAAGTGTCACGATCCTTACATACCTCTTTCGCTTCTTTCAGATTCATTATCTTCTTCATACATGCACGTCTAGGTATCCGAGTACTCTTGACCCTCCCCTCTTCGAGCAATTTGCTCACAGGGTCATCGAAAGTTAGTCTCGGTCTACCTCGACACCTTTTAATGTTTACTTTCGCGCTATATATTTTCTTCACCATTCGGTCTTCACTCATTCGCTCAACGTGCCCAAACCATCGAAGCACGCCCTTATCAATTTTTGTGATAAGGTCATCTTTCAAACTTGCCATATTGCGAATCTCTTCGTTTCGCTTTCGGTCGGCCATGGTAACGCCGCACATTTTACGAACAGATCGCATCTCCACTGCATTCAACTTAGTTTTATGCTTCTTCTGGCATACCCAGGTTTCGCTGCCATATAAAGTCGGTACCAACACTGCGTTATGTATTGCAAGGCGTGAACTCTTCACTACGCCTTGCCTTTTGACTAACGCAGTCAGGGCACCATTGACTTTGTTCCCGGCAGCGACACGCCTGTCCACATCTAAATCACATCTTCCATCCCGGCTGAAAGCACTCCCCAAGTATACAATTTCATTTACTTGTTCTAGACATTCCTGATTTACCCATATTTCACACTTCGTTCTCTCTTCGTCCCTTTCAAATACCAGAACCTTTATACCTACTAATAAATATAATATATATAATATATTAGTTTTTAATATATATTTTTAATTATTATATATCCTATCTTAACTCGAATAGAAAGGGAGAGATAGTAAGACCCTTCAAACTAGAAAAAAGCAATGGGCGCTAGCCGGCAGAAATAAAGAAGAGGGTAATATCAACCAATGTACTTCTAGTAGAAAAGGAAACAAAAATGGCGGCTACAGAGCTGCGGGGCTGCAGCTTCGAATGGTTTGCAAATAATTATTCCAAGTCTTTGATAAGTATGTAGAACTCTCCCACTGTATAGAAAAGAATCCATGTGTGGGAATAACTTATTAAAGAAAAAAAAAAATAATAGAGTCAGCACGCAACTAAACAGTTCATCTAAGTGTTTGCCGCAAATATATATTTTTTTCATTTTCATCACACAATCAAAAGTTGCCTGGTGAACTCAGTTTCCACGCTTTCGCGGCGATTATTTTGAGGTGTTAACAGGAAGATGCTTCCGTCCTTCTCCAGTTTCGTTTCACTCAGTCATCCCTTACGACACGCGCCATTGCAAGGCTTTGGATGCCGAAAAGAATAATCAGCATTAATTGGACAAAATGAACAGAAGCACCAACGATCATCAACAGAATTACGAGTTCTAGTGCCTTCGATGTGAACTCCAGATTTTTCGTTGTATATGTAAAAATATTTATTTTCTAAAATAGCGCTTCTTCATCATACAAGTCCCCAAAACTCATGGGGCTTATGGAACTTGGCACCGTTTCTGGTCTCAACTCTCATATCGGCGAAGCCGTTGTTATTGAATATATATATTGCTCAAGAATATTTAGGGAAAAAAAGCAATTTATCTAAGTGATAATTTTTTTAAAGTAAATCAGTAAAATCCTGCAAATGCGACACCGCAAACTATCACGCTTTTCTTTATGTTTTTCGCGATATCTCTCTTTCTTTAAATGTTTAACGAATTTAGTTGAGACATTTTTGAAATAATTTGTCTAGAAATCGGAAGCAGCTTCGCTGGTTGCTAAATAATGTCCTCCCATTTATGAGAACAAATATATCTATAAGTAAATGGTTACAAAATAAAATACTTTTAAAGGTGGTATGGTACAAATACAATAATTAGGTTATTAATTTAAAATGTTTATTGCATTTTTACAATAAATTTAAAAGAAAACTTAAATATTATGGCATACTGAAAATTACATTAAATCACTTTTTATATTAATGTAGCTCATTAGTGGCCGTGTCCACCGTGGCCACCGTGGCCACCGTGGCCATGACCGTTATTACCGTAGCTGTTGCTACTGTGTCCAGATTCGAAGCTGCTGCTACTGTGTCCAGAATCGAAGCCGTTTTGACCGTGTCCACCTCCGAAGCCGCCTTGGCCGTGGCCGTGTCCACCTCCGAAGCCTTGGCCCTGTCCATGTCCACTTTGGAAGTTGCTTTGTTCATAGCTGCTGCTGCTGCTGCTAGATCCATAACCACCATTGCCATGTCCACCTGAACCATAACCTGTAAATTAAGAAAGCGTAAGCCCATATTTCTAATCTGGGTGATATTTAAGTATTATTCTCTTTTAAAATATTGTACTATTAACCGGGGCAGTAAATACAGAAATTTTGAACTAAATCCATAAGAAAATGCCCAAACTAACAATTTCTATTTTTTATATTATAGGATTTCTTATGTGATTTTATAAAAGATATTAAAGCCAGGTCACGAAGTCATTTACTCTTTGACTTGTCCTGACGAATTCGAATTCAATTGTTATTAAAAATATGTCCAGTAGTGCATGGAGTACTGCTGTCACATATGGGCTTGTGCTGCAAAATGCCACCTAGCTGTGTTGTACTCAGTGGAGAGACGTGCTTAGAGGCCCATTGGTAACTTTGATTTGGTTGATACCAATCTTGACAGCCATGAGCACAGGCGCAGAGTAGCCAGCCTCTCAGTATTCTATAGGAAGCGTTTCGGTGAGTGTGCGCAGGAATTACACGCTTTAATTCCTCCTCCTTTCCACCATCGAACAACCAGGCGGTCGGTGGGTCTTCTCCCCTTTGTTGTCGGTATTCCACGTTTTAGCACCAAACGGTCTGCTTCATCTTTCGTAATGCAAAGTAGGTACAGCAAAGGTGTGGAATAAATTGCCGGTTATATTCAGACGGAAAATCTTTCCGTCTGAATATAAGAAGGTCTAGTGCTAAATGTTAATATATATAGTTTTCATTCACATCGTTATATCCAAGAAGGTTTTAGGTTATTATATAAATAAAATATACTATATTCGTAAATATACAACTTGCTTACCAGGGTTGGCCGCCGCCACCGCAATCAACGCAAGCACAACAATCTGTAAAAATAATTTTTACATTATTTCTATTAAATCAACATGAATGTCAACAAAAATCCACGAAAAAACTATTTCTTAAGTGATATGAATTCATGATGACATTAGGACTTACCAGGAACTTCGCCATTTCTACTTAGTTAAATATGTCTCTAACACTGACTGAAGTCAAAATCTTACTTGGCTTTTATAGTAAAAAACTAGATGGAAACAGGCGATTTCGTCCTGGCCGAGGTTTTAAATTTAAAAAATCTCTAATTAATAACACCTATGTTGCAGGCATTTTTTAAAAATTGCCGATTTGTGTTTTATACAGGTACGTACGTGGTAGAGCCATGCTGCAGCTATATTATGGTTGTAGTAGGAATGGGTCGTCTCGACCGGGGTACGACCACGCTCTCACAGAATACCAGCGTAAAGTAGCAGGTTAATGCTGCTGTGTTTCGTATGGGGAGTGTATAGAACCGGAGACCCTTTTTTACTGGACACGAGTTATTCCATCTTAGTCCTCACGGGTTACAGCGCATCTGCATTCTGATTTCTAATCGAGGATAGATGTAAATGTTTATGGACCACAGCAACCACCTACCATCAGGTGAACTGTGTGCTGGTCTGTCACCCTTATTCTATAAAAAAAATAAAGGCTGTATTTTGCAGCAAGTATTATTAAATAACTTCACCCGTGTTGCTTATAATATTGATGAGTCTATATATCTATATAATGTTTTATTAGCTTTATGGTATAAAAATAATTTTCAGTAGCTGCTAGCAAAAAAAAAAGTTTTTCGTAACTTATGTCGTAGGATTTGTCGTGGGGCAGATTGATTTACGAGCGCAGTACTTGAAGTCTTGCGCATTTGACTCTGCTCCCTGTCGCCAATTTGGATACTTACATTTGAGAAATATAATAATAATGTCCTCTAGACTAAATTTCGGTCACGGTGGCCAGTCTGAATTGGGATCATCTTTGAGAGCCGTCTGCACACGACACAAATATAGTGCATGAGTGTGTGCGCAAGCACAGGTGCAGTCTCTATTCCTTTTCTCTTATAGAATGACACGACGGAGTTATGAGGTTACAGTTTTTGAGATTTTTATTATAAAACCGGGATATTATTAATTTTTTTTTACTTCTAATTTTTGGTATTTTTACATTTGTTGATTTTTTAATACAATACACAAGACTCCCTTTGCATTTGTGATACTTTATAATTTCGATTATCTAGTTGCAAAATTACGATTAGAGTTCCATAATCAAAGGTTCCATTGAATGGTGAATATGCAAGTTATAAGCTGGAACATGTTCCTGTTACAAAGTATAAGCGACTTCGCCCGCGTGTAATTTATTACGATTGGATTTCATAGGCTTTAATTTTTTTGCGCGGAACCCTAACTTTTTTCTATAATAAAAGTAGCCTAAGTTACTCCTTATAACATCAGCTATCTGCCAGTGAAAGTCCCGTCAAAATCGGTTCAGACAGACAGAAAAAATTTTTAAAAATTGTGTTTTTGTTATAAGTTTCGTACACATACTTTCATATGCATTTAGTAATAAGCTGTTATTTTGACATCACAAACAGACACTTCAATTTTATTTATTTGTATTGTATATAGTATTTGTATAGTTAAAAGTATGTATGTATAAGTAAAATATGTTATATATTTATATCTCATCGAGCAGTTTTATAAGGTACAAGGAGGGACAAGGGATCCCAGAGTCCCTCCGATGGGTTGCCGATAGTAATCTATTCTCGAATATGAACCACAATGAGCATGTATTGTCCTTACTGTAGACTTAGATTAAATGTCTCGTATCCAGTAAAAAGGGTCACTGGTTCTCGTCGCTAACAAAACGAAACATATCAGTATTACACCTGTTATTTTACGCTCGCATACGTGAGAGCGTATCGATTTCGGAACGATTAATTTCTGATGTAGTCATACAGGGCATCTACCACATATACATATATAAAATATATATTATAACTAACTTTTGTGGTAACGCTATTTTATACGTGGTAGAGTCATGCTGCAGCTACATTATAGTTGTAGCACGAACGTGTTGGGTCGGCTCAACCGCTCTCAGAGAAAACCAGCGTAAAATAGCAGCTTAATGCTGCTGTGTTTCTTACGGTGAGTGGAGAGAACTGGATACCCTTTTTACTGGAAATATATAAAAATATCCGACAAGGTGTTTAAAGGAATTTTGTAAAATAACTAATTTCTATTGATTCTACAACATGAACTCGAAACCTGCGTGTCGTTCAGGTTATGGTAATTCTATAAACAAAATAATGTTAGAACAGGTCTGATATGTTTTTTTTTCAAACTTCAATATGTTAATTTAAAGGCAATGGATGATGGTTTCTTCTTAATAACTGTATTAATGTCTTTTCGGATTAGTTATTGCTATGCAGCCGTTACGAGCCCAATTTTAATGTACGCCTGTTATGGCTCACATTGGAACAATTTTATAGTTTTTACTAGATTAAGCTGCTTGGATGATGGTTTCCATATTCCCGTTTCCATTTTTATAAAATAAAATCCAATGAATACCTTCAATTGTGTTTATATAAATGTTAGAATTAACATTCATATATTTTTTTAAATATTTTAGTATTTATTTTAATTATTACATATCCTATCCTCGGATGGAAAGGGTAAGACCCTTCAAACTAGAAAATAGCAATGGGTGCTTGGCGGCAGAAATAGAGAAGAGGGTAATGTTAACCAATGTACTTCTAGCAGAAAAGGAAACAAAAATGGCGGCTATACAGCTGTGGGCCTGCAGCTTCGAATGATTTAGAAATAATTATTGCGAGTCAGTTCTCGGCTAAATAGTGCATCAAGTACATATACATAAACACTCATGCCTGTCACACAGAGGGGTAAGCAGAGACTATGGACTTCCATTTGGCACGATCCTGACACACCTCTCTCGCTTCCTCCACATCCATATACCTACGCATACACGCTCGTCGGTTAAAGGTACTCTTGATTTGACCCATTTTCAATATATCGCCAATTTGATCGATAAACTTTGCCTACGGCGTCCCTTCCCGACTCTGCCGTTCACTTCTGCAACATAAATTTGCTTTGTCACTCTTTCCTCATTCATTTTTTCTACATGACCAAACCACCGAAGCATTCCTTTCTTAATCCGGGTTACAACATCATCTTGCAAACCACACTCTTCTCTTATCAAACAATTTCTCACTGTCATTCAGATTCATTAAGTGTTTGTCACAAATACATTTTTTTTAATTTTTATTACAAAATCAAAACTTATATAGAATAGACTTTCCACGTTTCGCGGCGGGTCTGCAACGCAGTTTTTTCATTATTTTGAGTTGTTAACAGGAAGATGCTCCTGTCTATCTCCTGTTTGATGTCCCTCTGCCATCTCTAACGACACCCACATGATGATGTGAGGTAGTGAATTCTCTTACGCCGCTATCACACGGATTTGGATGCCGAAAAGAATAATCAGCATGAATCGGACAAGGTGGACAGAAGTACCAACGGTCATCAACAGAATTACGAGTGCTAGTCACTTCGATGTTAAATCTATATTTTTTATTGTATGTAAAAACATTTATTTTTAAAATAGCGCTTCTTCTATCGTCCCTAAAACTTATGGACATATTTTCGCCCTTTAGTCAGGAGGGTCTTTGTCTTACTCCTCATGCTTGGCAAGCAGATTGGCTATTGCCGTACCAGGTATCTACATTATTCGTTGTCAACGTTATTTATTCCAGGCAATCAGAATATAGTTTAAAGTGAGAATATTAAATGTCTCTTTGATCTAGTGGATGTAAACTCGACTGCTGACCATGAGGTCCCCGGTTCGAAACCTGATTCGCTCCATTAAACATCAGTTACTGAGTTTTTCCGTCAAGAAATTCTCAGTAGCTGCCTGGTGTCAGGCAGTTGACGGATTCTTACCCCCGTGCCTCGCAAAGCACGTAAACCTGTTGGTCCTGCGCCTGATCTCTCTGCGGTCGTGTCGGTTTACCTTCCCATCGGACTATATATGGTAAGAGTGAGGGCATAGATAGTGCACCTGTGTTTGGGTACACACTTGGGCATTATTATCCTGTCTTATGCCGAGGGCTAGTCTCCGTTGAAGCTAATCGTGAGCGGTAATCTGGTCCGGAGGACATTTTAATATATATGTTGTATATTGAATGCAAATAAAATACAAATCAAAAAACCCACGGGACGAGCAAGATGGCGTGATGAATTCTTTTTCATTAAAAAATAAAAAAAAATATTATCATGCACTAGTTGTGGTCAAATTTTGCAGATAGGCTTAGGCGGGCCGGATTTTGTGAATGTGTTTCGTTTTTATTTGTTTCATAATGTCACGATGAAGCAAAAAATGAGAATTAAAGAATTCGCAAAGTAAGCAAAAAATATTTATAGATAAAAATAAAGTTTTCGTTAATTAGATAATAATTGGTAAATGTGAAGGTCTCTCTTAAATAGGACATAATGTGGTAAAAAGATTTTGTCATATAAAGTTCAGTATTTTTGTTACCCTTATTCGTTGTTAACTGTCTAATATTCATTTAGCGGTATTTTGTAGATCTATAGTTGGTATAGTATTGGCTAAATTTTACATTAAAGCAAGGAAATAATGAAGAGCCGTGTCAGCTCAGATGGTTAGCGCTCGTTGTAAACTTCACAGTACGCGGGCAATCCGGGTTCGATCCCCGCCGACACCAATGAAATTGTTAATTGCAATTTTAAGTACTGATTTACCACGTGCTCGGCAGTGAAGGAAAATATCTTGAGGAAACCTGCATGTCGGAGAAATAAGAAAAAAAATTCGCAGACATGTGAAGTTCGCCAACACGGCGTATAGTCCAGTAACTTTATACATCACAGTATGCGTTAAATCCGGTAGTTCCTACTTTTTGCAGACTTGTTTATGATGTTGGCCCAATGAATAATCCAAGTTTGTGACCTCGAGCGCCGAACGCAACTTTGTCAAAAATCGAAAAACCTGCTATAAATCGTTTTTATTTAATTTTGCGGTTATAACCCTAAAGGTCTAGTTTTTGATAAAACTTTTTAAGATGTTTTTAAATTAGACTAAATTTGCTACAATATGATCCTAGAACCGTGCCTGTAGACCCAATAGTTACCGAGATTAACCCTTTCAAAGTTTAACATTTTTTTTTCGAATTTCGCATTTTTTTGCAATTCTGTCGTTCTGAATGAATTTTGACCGTGATTATACTATCAAAACCCTGTACTTTTATGATGGGATATTAAAAAAGAAAATGAGAAGTGTGAACGATGATGTTTAAGCTAAGCTGCGAATAATGAAGTAAAGAAGATAAGTACAACAAAAATTAATAAGTTTATTTGTTAGGAAATTGTGTAATATTCAAAATCAAAATATTTACTTAATTTAGCCCTCTTGGAATGTCCCGGTTAAGGTTCGTCCGTATCTGAATCGACGTATTGAGATGGCATATCGCCATCAGGAGATGGTGATGAATCGTTGACAAGTCATCCTCCATTTCGACATCGGACAGATCGTCGCGTTCTGGGATATGTACTACTGCAACATCAGGTATATTGTCACAAGAGGCCCCGCTACAGTGCATGCAGTCCTGCAGATGCACGCGTTCCCACAACCCTTTGTGCAGCCGCAGGTTATCATCCGTAAGAGGTGTTGTGGGGCTGCATCTCTGGTCATCATTTTGGGGTTGAGGCCTTGTGGCATGGATGGCACCCCCAGGAGAGAGGGTTCAGTGTGATTCCCAATCACGCCTGTACACGTAAGAAGTTTGTACATGAGAAATGATGAATGATATGTAATGTGTATTATTGATACAAGGACAAATTTTTACCTGTGTCCGCAAGGAGTATAATCGAGCAGAGTCTCATGTAGGAGGTAACCTGGCTAGATTGAAGCTGGTTTTCGTCGCAGCCCTGGCGAATAGTTGGTACCGCAGCTCGTCAAGGTTATGGGTGTTGGGGTTGCCTCCGTATAGAGCAATTATGACTCGCTCTCCTGCTGCTGCTATCTCGTCAGGTGTAGAGTTGGTGTCGAGAAAAATCGCAGCTTGCTTTTCAACGTCCGGATTTTTTTTGACTATGGACATCATTTGCTTCTTCCCTAAGCCAAAGCAGCAGGATGTCAAGTCACAACCGCTAAAGGCATGGATGAAGAGGAAAAGCTCTGATTTCAAACACACAGATCACATTCCGTCGTAGGTAATTGAAACTTCATCCCACTAGAGTTGTTCGACTGACGTCTAAAATATTGCAAAAAATTGCGAAGTTCGAAAAAAATGATAAACTTTGAAAGGATTGAGCCTTTTAAAGTTTATCATTTTCAGAAATAAGGGGAGGCCTGTGCCCAGCAGTGGGACGTATATGGGCTGTAACTTTAACTTTATGGAAATAATAATGATATCATGTTTCCTTTACAATATGTGAACGAAGAAATCATAATAACCAAAGTTCTGGTTATTATGGTATCTACGCTGCGTGCCACTTTAAGATGTCGAGAGAAATCCTCGCAAACAAAATGAGTCATGCTTAATGATTTTGTATGTGTACAAGTTAGCATTGATTATATGAATACAATTTGCATTCAGATTATGTTTACTATTCATATAGTACTAAAATAGAATTAAGAATTATATACATTTATTTAAATGATATTATATACATTTATTTATATGATATAACATACAATTAATGTGTAAACGTTAAAAACTACCAGTTATAGTATCTTTCTATTAATAATAACTATAGGTACTGAAAAACCAAGATACATTCTACGATCGTCGACGCCTCAGATAACTATAAAATGAAATCAACGCTAAGCCACAAGACTTAATGTTCAGATATGTCATCCTCATTAATTTTTATAGTTCTATAACGTTAGCTATCGCAGAAAGTCATCTTGGCTATCCCCGCAATTGTAACTAACAAAATAATTGGTTTTCTACTCTATGGATCGAGCTGAATATAGCTATTTAATGAGTTAGGCAGTACCTAGTTCATAACTTCACTTTACACAATGATGATCTAACAAGCATATAACATTAGAACAAGGTTGTGATACATAGTCGTATATTCTAAAACATGTTTTAGGTTCATCCCCAAAACAACTTTATGCTTACAAACACAAGGAAACAACACAAGTAACAGGTATTTCCATTTGGAGTGAATAAACATATTATAAAGATTCCTTTTCAATGTTAATGAGGCACACTCTGTTGATCTCAGGTGTGACAACGCATATATGATTTTGATTCTTAATCAAGGATGGATGTGTGTGTGTTTTTTTTTATATGATTGAGTGACAAACGAGCACACAGTTCACCTGACGGTAAGTGGTTGCTGTGACCTATAGACATCTACATCTATCCTCGTTTGCGAATTAAAATGTAGATGCGTTGTCACCCGTGAGGACTAAGATGGAATGACTCTTTTCCAGTAAAAAGGGTCTCCGGTTCTCTACAGTCACCATACGAAACAAAGCAGTGTTAAACTGCTATTTGACGCTGGTATTCTGTGAGAGCGTGGTCCTTCCCCGGTCGAGCCGACCCATTCGTACTACAACTATACTACTAAAATAGCTGCAGCATGGCTCTACCACGTGCTCTTTCTCATTCATTTTGTATAAGATGTAGGTATCTACATTTGTAGGTTAGTAATGATTTTATGAATATATATATCATGCGTACAATCTAAATTGTTTTATATTTCCATATTATTTCACAAACTTCTTCACTAACATTCGTCAGCCTCTTAAAGACCACTTTGAATATGCGCCTCTCCCGTTGCGGAGTCTTCCTTGGCTGTCTCGCTTGGCAGGCAGACTGACGATCGCAGTACCACACGTTTCGTACTTTTGACTTCGCTTCTATGTGACGATTAACCGCCATCTTTCGGATGTTAAAAGATTTTTTGTGAGTTTTCCACAGTACCCTCGTGAGTGTAGTAACACTCACGTGGCGAAATAGGTTAATGGATATTGTTCGCTGCCACCGCTTTGCACACTACATAAGGGTTATATTTATTATTCCACATGTTATCGCTAATTCATCAACTCATTATTTGTCTGAAATGGATTTACTTTAATATTTTTGGTTTGAGTGGGCTGTGAATAAGAGCAATTTGAAATTTAGCAATCAAGTTATGAATACGTACAAATTATACGATGTAGTTATTGATTCGTACAAGTTATACGATTTTATTTACTGCGCATATTCTTATATCATAACATAATAAGGTAGGTAGGTACTTAAAGGTGCTTTAATTATAAGTTTCGATTATAAGCTAAGGCTATCATTGTCAAGGTTAACATTGTCCTTTCCAAATAGAATTCAGTCAATAGACTAGGAGTGTTAACTAATGTTTGGAATTGTCTTTATGTGTCAATGGGAATATGTCATCTTTTCACCTAGAACCGGTAATATGTTGGTGTCTATCTAAATGGATTTTTCACTCTCAGTTGATAGCCAGAGCTGCAACAGCGATCACGTGTAGGTGAAATTGGCATTTAGAAATCAGTTTGTATTGCCCTCTTATCACCGCTCCCTGAACACACTTAGTGGTCAGTGCTCCGCATTAGATGTGTGCAAAGGATGATCATTTAGATTACCTACTTTTTAAGTAACATTTTCTTTAATTGATGAAATGGTTTAAGGACTCTGCTACCCCGTATCATGCCGTGGGTGTCGTAAGAAGCGACGGAGGGACGGGACGGAAATAAGCAGGAGTTGGGTAAACTGCGGCTGCTTACCCAGCTTCCAACCGTGGGAACTATGACAAATATTCCCCTTGTGAGGCAATCTTACAGAATACCAGCGTAAAATAGCAGCTTAACGCTGCTGTGTTTCGTATGGTGAGTGTAGAGAACCGTAGAACATTTTACTGGAAACGAGGCATTCCATCTTAGTCCTAGCGGGAAACAACGCATCTGCATTTTGATTCGTAATCGAGGGTAGATGTAGATGTCTACGGGCCACAGTAACCACTTACCACCAGGTGGACTGTGTGCTCGTTTGTCATCATTAACCTATAAAAAAAATCTGCGAGGCCTGTGTTCAAGACTGGACCTTGGATAGGCTATTATGAAAGTCCCCCTGTAAAGAAATGTTTTTTGGTTTTGGAGATGCTTTCCTTTACAGTCAAGTGGAAATTCATCCATTTAAATTGCAATTTACCTAAAATTTTATTGGAGCCGGAATCCCGAATTCATTATGCCATTGTGCTATTAAATTTTTAGGCAAGCGCCATTGAGATCCAAAAAAAGAACTAAAAAAAGCTAAAGTCCACTGCTGAACATAGCTGAACTATACTACTAATATAGCTGCAGCATGGATCTAACACGTAAATAACTTAGACTTATAGTTTGTTTTTATTTTGTTCAGTTTTTTACTGCTGCTTATGGCATTGTCTGGCTCATATATATTTTATTAAGCATACAAATTGTATAAATTAAAATTTCGTTTAATTTAAAATCCGTTCGTCGACAAATATTGCAAAATCATTTGTGTAAAAAAAAATATATATTTAGATTTTTATTTGTTTCAGCCATATCTTACACATTTACGCTTTACCCTTGTCGGTTAGTTTTATAATTATTAATTATGTATACTAACTACATCAAGATTAAATTGTTTACATGCGGAACCGATAGTAATATATTTTATATACGAAATAATACAGACAATTCGTATCGATTGATCGATTAAATGTTGTAAAACATTTTCCTTATTGGCCGTAATTATTAAATAAAAATTCAAATTGCTATTAAGAGGTTCATATGTGACGGCCCCGATTAAATTCGAGTTCGTTAAATTTATTTTCAACCAAAAAGGTTTCAAAGTGGAGGTGGTGACTAATATCACAGTAAAATCTTTAAACTGTGCTATCCACCGGCGCGGCGGGAAACATCGTCAAAGGTGCTGGGCGCCTGGTATTGCGATTATCAGTCCGTCTGCCGTGAGTGTGACGATATGGCAAATTCTTTTCAGACCGGAAAAAGTCCACTGCTGGACAAAGACAATTTACATCATCATTATCAGCGTCGGCTGGTGATGATGATGAAGACCCACTGTTTATTCATTCATTCATTACCGTTACGGCCTAGTATCAAAATTCCACTGTTGAACAGAGATCTCCACCTACAGATTTCCTAACAGTGGCGACATTTGCCACAGTTACTACGCTACACAGACCCATTGGCAAGCACAGTTTTTTTTAGGTATTATTTTGAATTGACATCGGGAAGATGCTGCTGCCCATCTCCGGTTTCATTTACCTCAACTTCCTACAACCACGGGGTGATATGAGGAAATGGATTCTCGTACGCACTGTACTTATATATAAATACAATTAGTTATTATGTTGATGTTAACAGGCTCTTATCAACTTCTAAATACACACTTGTAACAGTTTTGTACATGCACCTAATAATTTACATCTTTTTCTACCGACTTCAAAAAGGAGATGGTACTCAATTCGAAAGTATGTTTTCTTTTATGTGTGTTACCTCATAACTTTTTACTGGGTGAACCCATTTCGATGATTCTTCTTTTATTTGAAAGCTGGTGCTTCACATGTGGTCCCATATTGATCAAGGTCTGATCAATAGTTTTTGAGTTATTCTTAATAATTTATATTGAAGTCGGTTGTACAAAATTTTTAATTTTAAATTATAAATACGTACGTCCTCTGGCCTTCCGTGGTAGGTATACGCATAACAATTTGTAATTCTGTTACCTACTCGTACTAAGTAACTTTCGAATTTTAAAGTTGGGGATCAGATTTTTTAAATATGTATTTAAATAATTTATTCCTATTTAAAAATAAAATCTTATTAATACATTACAATAACTTCATAAATTAATGACTCCACTTCT